GCCGCGAAGAATGAATTACAACGCAATATGCATGCCTCGAGGCTAAGAGGGGAGGGGGAGGGGAGGAAAAGACGGCCTAGTGAGACAGGTGAGCCGTGGAGACAACTGTCATGAGGGAGTGGGACGTCACCAGGGCGGATGACTAGCGAAGGGGGCGCTAGTCAGACACCGAAGTTCGCTCATGGCTCTCTGGCGGTGATGGTGGTGGTGGTGGTGGTGAAGTCTACCTTATGACGGAGAGGCAAGTACTGCTCGCGCCAGGGTCTCCTCCGCTTGTTTTAGTATCTGAGAGGTCTATTAAAATAATAACTTCGGGCTCTACGAAATTCGCTATTTATGCATGAACAAAGCGTTCAAAGCAGTCTGATCATATTCCGCAGTAAAGAGGGCACTGGTAGGTACAGATCTTAAGGAGGTGCAGTTGGAGGACAAAAATGCAAGGTAGTTTAGCTGATGATGGTGGAAAACATTGATAACCACGCTTGCTATAATAATTGGGTAAGGATGACTTGTATGGCCGCCTAAACAGGACACGGGAATAGGACAGTCCGACACAATTAAAACAGGTGTTCTTGCGAGAAATTTCAGGAAGGGTAACTATTTCCGTATTTTAATTCTAACATAAATCCTGGTACAAAACTAAACTGTAACGAGAATCGTAACCCTAACCTTACTCTAAACCTAAATGCTATAGTTACTTCGAAGCAAACCTTAACCCTTAACGTAATCCTGAGCCTAATCCCAACTATGCCTTAACCCTAACCTTAAACCTAAATCTAAACCTAACCATAGCCCTCACCTTAATCTTGAATCCAATTCATCCTGAATTTGGCATAAAGTCACATGCATTTTGGGCTATTCCTGTTCCCGTGTCCTGTTTAGGCGGCCACACAAGTCATCCTTACCACAGAGTGCAAGTAAAGAGTGAAGTCGAATCAGTATGGATGCGTAAGCCAACACATGATTCTGTAAGCAACTAAAAGCCCAGCAGACATTGCAGTCGCCCACGCCCGTTCGTTCTCTTGGAGACAACTTAGGTGAGATAAAAACCACTAGCGTGATGATCGTGTCGGAATTTTATAACCCGCCAGTTTTCTTGCTTCGGATGACACTGTCTACCCAACACCTGAGATGTCCAATCATGGTCGCATGCGCTCTTTCATCACATATCGCGTTTCAATGGCAAGAATAGACCAGAATAACATCGGATCGGCTTGAGAACGACGACTGAACTGGAGTAAAGCTTCAGTCGTCGTGTAAAACGATGTGACTGATGGCCCTTTCATAAGTGAAACATGCAAATATGGAAGTATCGGAGAGGTGCGCTTGCTGCAAGCATCTGACTTCGCTGCTCATTCAAATTTTGCTGCGTTCAGCGCAACTTGCTGGGGGTGCATATGGGATATAACGAAAGGTGAGGTCAAAATAAAAGTTATCACCCCGCAACTGGTAACTGTCACTTCCTTAATATTTTTCCTACCGCATACCACGTCAAAACTCAATGGTTTGCTTCAACCATATATTAGAATGAAGTATAGCTACACTTCATATCAAAATTAGTTGATTCCCTACTGGAAAGGCTCAGCAATTGGTTTAGAATACATACGGCGCTTGGCCTGTCCAAGGCGTAATACGCAATTGGTTAAGACACTTTTTATTTGTTGAGGCCGCTCTCAGCAGAAGTAGTGGTCTAGGTGCAAGTACGCTGAAGGTGCATGGTTAACAACCAGAACTAGCGACAGAATAATGTGATAACTGTCAAAAATGGCATCATTTTTGTTCATGGTAAGCATCGGGGACATTTGTCAACATTTCTTCAAACTATGACTATGGAGTGAACGAGCCCTTCCTATAAGTTCTCAGTGTCTTGTAACCAAAACTTTTTATGTGCTAAAGTTCAATTTGGACTTAGACCTTAAATCCAGCAGGCCGCTTACTCTCCTGGAGGATTTCTGTTTGGAAGGGGAGAGCTGATTTACATTTACTCCTGGGTAGTTTTGTTAACGACTTGTGTGTCGTTCTGGGTCTTTCATGAATCTCAGCTTACGAGTGTCATCCTCGCTCACACTGCGCAATAGTATGCACTTCGCAAGTATTCAGTAACCACTTCACAGTCCTGAAAAGGATCACAGGTAAGTATTTATCTCAAGATTATATAATCATGAGCCCGTGGCTTAATGATTAGAACGCTGGGCTTCTAACCAACATTCGGCGGCTTCGAGCCACAGGTCTTCCAAAAATTGGGATTGGGTATGGTTGGCTGCTGACGGTTAATAGGCCAGAAATAGCCATTCCAGTCTCCCTTGTCTTTGTAATGTACTTAGTGTAGACAAATGCCGACTGGTTGCAATATTTGGGTAAGCTCTTTTGGGCAAACACATTGCTATTGTTTTTTTCTATGCAAATGAATGGTTTACAAATTTATGTAATACCCTTGCGTTTACGTTTAAGTTAAGTTGTTCAGGGCTTTGTCCCACTGTAAGCCCTTGGTAGCAATTGTTGCATAAGTACTACTATAGTATCTTTGTGGCTTCTAATACCGCGCTCTTGGAGGCATTTGCTTCTTCATACCGCACACATTTTACTTGTGTATCTGGCAGAATTTTTACTTAATGCTAACACTAGACAGAAAATTAGAAACACCAATAATTATGGCTTATGGGGTATTGGACACCTGAGTGCATTTCCCGAATTTCAAGTTCTGTGTTTAACAATGCCCGGGGTCAAAGCCCAGGTATCATCGTTGGGATGGATTTGGCAAACAACAGCAAATGAGGGCAGAATTGCAATTTTCGTTTTTGTCACCCGTATATGCCCTAATGATCAATGGTACCCTGAAAGGACACAAAGTTGGACGTTTATGGTAAAAGATGACGCCCTCAGCCTCTCTAACAGTTTATCATAATATATGAATACAAGTTTCAAGGGACTTGCAGTTTGGCCGGCCACAGCCATCGCCGTGTACATATGCTCCTGAGATAAATGGTAGAAGATTCAGTCGGATGAACAGGTGGCTTCGAATTGGAATATAACTGCCTTATGCTGGCGCAAAATTCAAAAATATTCTCTTTAGTTCCTTCTTGCACTCGTTCCAATACCCTGGTTTTTATTTATTTTGTTAAGAATGGAGCGATGCATTTCAGCGCCATGCGTAGTGGTATAAAATGTCGACCTTTTCAGCATTCAGGGCCTGGCGCCTTATTTTCCTGTTTTGAGTTGCCTTGTCATAGCAAATCAACACTGAAGCCAAACCCAAGGTAACTTTGCCAGGTTGAAGTTTTTCTGTTCTGCCTGCGATGGCCACCAGCGTGATGGCTTTTAAAACCCTGTCAATTAAAAACAGACATAAATGGTACTTACGATGCTGGTAGATTTACCACTGCCATAAGTTTTTACTGCGAGAATTTTCGCACGATGATTTGCTTTTTTTAAAGACTACGGATCAGAGCCATTACGCAAATACAGAGTTGACCACTCAAAATTCATACGTATTATCTCTCATTGCTGCTGACTTCCCGATAGGTATGCTGTGATATGCCACGTAATCTATAGTGTCAAACCTCAAGTGTGGGAGAATAGATGCGCCGTTCTTCCTGCTACCTGACTCATTTTCGATTCGTGATCTCCACGGATACCCATGGAGACGTAGGGTTTTGGGAAAGGTGAGGTGAGAGCTATTTACTATCAATACCTGACGCGATCAATCGCATTGGCCTGCTGAAGACCACTTATGGTTGATTATACAAAACCCTACTTAAGAATAAGGACGGCGTATAGCAGGTATGAGGTAGACACAGACAAATTAGTAGCTCTTATGGCCTCCCGACTCAGAGCAAGTTTAAAAACAATAAAAGAAACTCAGCAGCATAAAAGTATGTTGTTTTTCAATATTCTTTCTTTGTATCATATTTTTATTCTCTACCGTCAATGATATTTGGCCTTGGGTAATGGAACTACCATAAATTTGTTTTTCCTACTTTCACGGTTTTCGGTAAAATAAATTATTTATTAACTGGCCAAAAAACAATGACTAATAAATAATAATTAATCAACGGAACATCGTTGTCTTTTGAAGATTAATGGTCTGTTAAACGTGGTATAGCTGTAGAAGACGCATGGTAAGTGGTTTGTCCGCTACAAGGGTTTTGAGCGAAATTCGTTACTTTACATTTGCTAGGTCACGAAATATAGGTAACCGGTATGTTAGCTTCCAGCAGTTTAGGACGTCCCTTAAAATTCCGTCCCTTGCTAACCACTATTACAGCCCTATCTGCGCCTGGTCTTCTATTTGGAAGCCTAGATTCAAATCAAGTCTCAAAGTTTAAATGTCCAATCACGCTTACAAAATTACCTGACACTAAAAAGGAGCTGTAACACAAATATTGCTTAAAACACTGAATTTCTGCCTTTTGTTTTAGGTAAAATGTTCACTTGCACAGAGTACGGAAGAATTTTAGTTATTTTTAATGACTTATCTAATAATTAATAGTATGGTAACGATTCAGCGTTTATTTGAGGCATGCTAAAGCAATGAAAAGCGCTAGTAAAGACAAATTAATTGGTGGTTTTGCCCAAATTTCGACATCTCAAAGGGGTGAGAACATTATGCTCTACGTCAGAAAGCGATTTAGTAATATATATACTTTATATACAGACGAAATACATTGAATTTGAAAGGTTAAAAAAAGAAGCAGTCCATCATTCACACAGAGCATCTTCACGATAATCGCTGTCCTTCGAAAGCCCGATACGAGGTGAAATGCATAGTGCGATAGTCAAGGAGGGATGTGCTTGGCCAGAACGAAGAAGTCAGAAACGGGTTTAGAAAGGCACCATCAGATGAAATCATGTCGTTGTACCAGTAGGAAGGGAAGGTTGGTGGATTTGGAGCCTGTTGATATGGATAGGAGGAGGTGGCGGCGGGAGAGCGGAATTCGTGAGGCATAGTACAAGGAATAACCCCGGGGTGAAGCAGAGGATGCATAAAGTCAACAGATCTGTCAGAAGTCGCGTTCAAGCCCTCGACTGGATTAAAACCCTCAGAGACATCGAACGGCCGGACTTCTTGCTGAGAGTGTGATGAGTAGAATTCAGCAGAGCTGCAGCTGGCCTGTACAGTCTTATGGTCCCCATTCAAGCACTCTTTCTCCTCCTCCTCCTCCTCCTCCTCCTCCTCT